AGCAGCAGTAGGTCTCAATATACACAAAGGGAAAAGCAGGATTCTCCGATACAACACAGAATGCACCAATCCAATCACAATTGACGGAGAAGATTTGGAAGATGTAAAAACCTTTACATATTTGGGCAGCATCATTGATGAACAGGGTGGATCTGATGCAGATGTGAAGGCGCGGATCGGCAAAGCAAGAGCAGCATATTTACAACTGAGGAACATCTGGAACTCAAAGCAACTGTCAACCAAAACCAAGGTCAGGATTTTCAATACAAATGTCAAGACATTTCTTCTGTATGGGGCAGAAACCTGGAGAACTACGAAAGCTATCATCCAAAAGATACAGGTATTTATTAACAGTTGTCTACGCAAAATACTTCGGATCAGTTGGCCAGACACTACTAGCAACAAACAACTGTGGGAGAGAACAAACCAGATCCCAGCAGAGGAAGAAATTAGGAAGAAGTTGTGGAAGTGGATAGGACACACATTGAGTAAAGCACCCAACTGCGTCACAAGGCAAACCCTCACATGGAATCCTCAAGGCGAAAGGAGGAGAGGAAGACCAAAGAACACATTACGCCGGGAAATGGAGATAGATATGAGAAAAATGAACATGAATTGGATGGAATTAGAAAAGAAGGCCCAGGACAGAGTGGGTTTGAGAATACTGGTCAGCGGCCTATGCTCCATTGGGAGTGACAGGCGTAAGTAAGTAATAATATACTTTATTTCAATGAGAGTAAGAAAAAAGTTGATAAGTTCTCTATTATAGTTCACTGATTTATGAATATCTTACATCTTCACAATGGTCAGTGTAGCTAAAACGGAGTTTTAAAACTTACTGATTTGAAGTAGAATAACTGGAATTTTTTGACTAATTAACTTGGTATCACGTAGGTCTATCTTCATTATCATGAGTAGTCTTATAATAATAATAATAATAATAATAATAATAATAATAATAATAATAATAATAATAATAATAATAATAATAATAATATCTCTAATATAACTGAATAGAAAAAATTATTTAACATCCAACCAATTGGTCATTGTCTTTCGAGCTATGATCGGTGAATAATATTTATTCCAAGCAATAACCGATTTCGTGATGCAACACCTTCATAAGGTTGGTTTAATATTTAGATTGACTAGACACTATTACTTTCATTTGTGTTCACTCCTATTTGTAGATTATAATACTTAAGAATACTTAAACATGTCGAATGGTTCGATAGAGCAATATATTTCCACAATCGGTATATTTTTTGAGGAATAATACTATTTCTATAATTTACCTTATTTTTAATAAATAAGCATTTTTATTAAGAGTAAGTATAGCAAATAATCATTGTTAAACTAACTATTGAGCATTTTGCACTAGTTACGATTATAAAGAATAGAGATAGAGAAATAAATAGAATAGAAGACTGTCAATTATTCTATTTGACTCGCACTAACTTTCATATATATAAGTATATATGTGACTAGGTAGTTCAAAGTGAATAGTACAAAAACATATTACATTGTTCAGAATATTTCTGTCTTCTAACAGGTCTATCGAAATTTATCAAAATGGGATTAGTTCACTTGGTATTATTTGCTTGAATCTTCCCAGTGATTTTCGAGTCCCAGAGTGGACATCAACTCTCAGATGCAGATACATCCAGATGATGAGTCCCAAACAGAACGAAACGCGCGTCCTGGATTCCACTGCTAGCCACTATCCATCTTCGGGATTAGTTGGTTTACATCTTTTTTCTTTGTTTTATTGCGTACTTTAATGAAGTATCCATTTTGAACAGACAAAAAAAGTTAGAAAACAACTGTAACTACGAGTGACGATCGCGAATTCACAAGACTAACCATGCGAATCGAGAGATTTTCGCTAATTACAGCAGTTCATGTGGTTTTCGTGGCAACCAATAATTCACAAAAGTTAGGATAATTTTACCTTAAAAGTTTTGTGAATTTCCAAATCCTACCAATATGACATTTTGTTATATTATCCATTGAAGTTGTTTTAGCTACAAGCCAAATACTTTTATGATAGACCAGCTGATATGGTCTGTTGTCAGTCATTTATAACTAAATTAAAAACTGGGACAAATGTACAATGACTTATGTGACCACACATCTTATCGGAGCAGAGTGAGACGACTAATAGGATGATAAAGCGGTCGAAAAAAAAACAATCATCCGCCGAAAAATTCCAATATAAATCAATTCGATATCATTCAGAATTAACGTACGAAATTGATGAATGAAAAGTATGAGAGAACACTAAGATCTAAAATATATACGAATAAAAAGGATAAGTACATTTGCACCTTTATGACCGATTACAAGCTGTCATTCATAAGATCATCAACTAACAGTTATGATTATTTTTGTAAACTCTAAACGGAAATCATCCATCCAACAATTAATGACTTTATGATTTGACACCATGGTTTTCATTTGATCGTCTGTAGAATTTATCCAATCTACTCATACGCTAGTCCTCATAGAACATCGGGTTAGGTGATGGCTAGGAATGAATCAGTCATGTCCCAAACAAATCATCAGGTGTTAATTCATACTCTCAATAACTTATTTACTACTTTTAACTAGTCACTTACATTTTGTAAATACTTAACCAGTGTTCTGTCGTACACATGTTAAATGCTTCAAAATAATTGCCCATCCATTTAGAAAGTTATGATATTTTCTAATGTTAGACTAAGTTGGAGTGTATATGGTTACACCACTAATTTCAACATCAGTACTAACCGAATTTTGGCAAAACATTCCATTTTAATCATTACTACATTTGCATTATCATCTGATCAATATTCATCAAATTATATTGAAAGTTAATTTTTTAAATAGTCAATATAGTTTTAACTTATAAACATAATAATTAAATTTATTTAGATTTTCTTTTATTTTGTTAACTTATTACCTAATTTTTAGCATGAATCATGGTTCTGTAACTTAGAGTATACTTTGTTTTTCTTCACTCAGTTTTATTTAATTACTTTTTGCTTATCAGTATAGAGAGCTTTGTTTTTTCTAGAAATTATAGAAAATCATAGTTTAAATCATAAACTGATCCAAGTTAAATAATAAATCACTGAGAACCGGGAAGTACTGAATTCATTATGAGAACTGAAAATCCAAGGTTTGATAACTGATTGATTTATAGATATACATTGTTCAAGAATTTCTAACTGGAATGAAGCAATTGTGCTCTTCTTCATAGTACTTAGTAGTTTGTTTGTGATATCAAATTCTCTTGTTACTGAGAACAATTCGACTGAATACGTTTGTCAAATAACTGTACTTTGTTATTTACGTAAACATATATTTATAAATAAACAATAAACTTAAAATTCTTACTGTTTACTGTCAATTATTTGATATTCACTAATGGTTTTCACTTGTATTATCCTTTTTACAATATAAAATATATTCACTAATTTTCATCCATACAATAAGTCAAAAACAAAACAAATGTGTTGATAATCCATGGAAATGTCAGAGGTTTCTTTCTTCATATGAATAACATTAACTATGATAGGAAGAAAGGAATAGATCTTCATCATAGAAAAAAATACAACTTATAACATAAGTGATATTTAAAAAGAAGAACAAAATCCTTAAATTTGACAAGAAATTCAATTCAATTTAATTAGCTTGATGTTGTTTCTTCTTTTTTCTCCTAAATTGTAACTAGTTGGTAATTGTAAAATGAATCAAATTAAGAAAATGACATTCTATTAATTGACTTACATATAACATAGTATACAAAATTACAATGAACAAAAGATTACAAATTTAAATGAATGGTACATATCATATTTGATATATAGAATTTATCTATTAGCATTGTATTTCAGTTTTTTACGCTTCTTAAATGATCACTTGTTTTTTTTTAGAAATCAAAAAAGAAAAAACGTTGTGTTCTTTTTATTAGAAATATTGTTATGTTGTCTAGACCTAGATCTTCAAACTTTGTAATCTATTATCGAAGGCTGCATTTTAGCAAAGTAAAAAATCATAACTCGTCATTTCTAAAAGCCCAAACAACAATGATTCAAGTTTCTCAGTTCCGAAATTATTAATAATTACCTTCAACCTTGTAGCTAAAAAACTTCGAGGTGCAATTAGTGATATTCCAGTCTGTACATTATTAAGAGACTAACTAGATATATTCACCAGAATACTTATTGTTTGACATCAGTTGGATATTGGTAGTTATGCACTACAAATTGTAACATCAAGTTGTAGTGCAGTTTAATTCAAACGATATCAAAGTCGTTTGATGGAGTCTGTCATTAAGAAGGTGGGACTTGATTAAACTAAGCAAAGATTGAACTTCTACTCTGATATATTTTGTTGATGTGATACTCAATATTTAGTTTTAACAAAAATTTGTGGCAAGATAAAATGAGTGATTAAAACACACTCAGTAACACAAACAGAAGTAGTTCAGCAGTTTAAAAATTCCCATATTCAAAACAGACAATATTCGAGCGAAGTGTTTTCAGTAGCTTTATCGTCAGGCTCTAATGCATGCATAATTTTTTCGTCTGCAAAATATCACAATGATTATGAACTTATAACCGTACGGCCTAATGATGAAGTTATTGGAAACAATTGTTCGATCAAATATTCTTTGTTTTAGAAGTGATTCACATTATTTTTCTACGAAATAAGCTTACTACGATTTTCATGAATGAGACTATAGCGCTTGTAATGAAGCTTAGTTACTTTTATCAAAGAAACTTTAAAGCTTGGGAAGCTTCTAACTCATATTTGAAAATCGACATACCTATAAACACAAGGACTTTATTATTGTCGATTTTGTAGACAATAACTAATGAACTGCGTTGTGGTTTGAAAAGAGATATATACATCAACTGTAGATGCATTTAGCTTTACAAAGTCATAAGTGGGAATCCCATTCATCCTGTAGGCGGTATACATTCAGATATCCATAAATAAAACTAACTAGATTTCGTCATATATTAATATAACTGTATATTTGACACAACTAAATAGAGGAAAAAATTTACAAACAGTAGTACCCATTGTGGATGTAGATTAACAGATGTCAATGAGAACAAAGTATTTTATAACAGATTTTTTTTTAGTAAAATCCGAGAAACGATCACACATTCAAATTACTTATTTCTAAATTTATCTCAAACTAAAGTCGTTTTCATTTCTTAAGCACTTGAAAACCTACGGCGAACACTTGCAGATAGGTTTTCACATCATATTTTTGGCCAATTTCAGCAGAGAAAAATAAACTTCAGATGTTGAAAACACCCACACTGGATAGTACAGTTCTATAAAAAAATTTCCAAGATTCTCCCATTTAGTCGCTATGATAACAGTAAAAATCTTGATAGATTTCCGGTTGTGATAAATTTGATGTTCACAATTTAAACCTTGCTAATTTGCCTACTTACAAGTAGTTAAATAAACCTCAAAAGCTTTTTGTGACACAAAAGGAGTGAATGTATGACTGAAAATTTTAAAAACCCATTAAACTGATGAAAGATTATTGGGACCAAAATAAAATCTTGGTAAATAAAATGTATAATGATATTCTGCATAAAATTAGTTATACTGTTCAAATTGAATATAAGTCATAAATTCTATCTGTCCATGGTTACAAGGATACAATTCATAAATAATGATTAGATGAATAATTAAATGGTCAATAAAAGTTTACTGTAAAAATGTAAAATTATATATATGCCAATTTCATATTGCTTTAGTTGTTTCCTAGGTCACCAAAATGATTTTTCGGGTCATATGCTGAAAAATAAGAGTGGAAGGAGTTGAAATTAATACAATAAATTGTTAAGAAAATAAGTAAAAATTTATAAGGTTACTATGCTGTAATTGATTATGAAAGGTTTTCCAAAGTAAATATTATACTCAGATGAATGAAGTAATCATGAGACGCTTTTTTGGAATAAACTTATTTAAAACTAGGTACATCCACTTATTCTAAGGTGGTTGTACATTTTAAATGAGATTTATGAGATCGAATTAACCGACCACTTGATTAATAGATCAATGTATCTTTAATATATATGAACAAATTAACAAAAGTGAAGCTTATCAGGAAATATGTGTACGGGGATTGGTACTACGCAGTACAAAATATTAACTTGAAAAAGAGACTTTCATTTTATCTTAATTATGAACACAGATTTCGCTATGATTCGAACTACATTACGTTACCAAGACATAGTCAACGTAGAATTTCATATAATTAGGCATCAAGGTAAAATTCTATTCGAGACGAAATTAACGGGATGGGTAGCAGGAAAAACGAATGAATGGTAGAATGAATTATAGTAACAAAGACTAAATATAGTAAATATGACTGAAAAATAGGGAGAGAAATAGAAGGACTGCATTATGAAGTTATGTTGAATACATCCAATCAGTCGACAGTGATTTTCAGTCAAAGTGGCTAAAGTATCCAACCATCGAACACGACCCAATCAAGTAGTTCGTATCCGACAACTAAACACAAACAAATAATCTGGTCACTCCTAACATATTTCCAATCATTTATACTCTAAACACGGTTGCGCATCAACGAACACTTTGGCTGATCATGTAAAACATATTTATTCTAGTCATCTCAGCCCATGAAGATTCATATTACAAACATTACTGACTCAAGCAGTTAGTTGTGTCTAGTATATGTCTTTTTTCATTAGGGTTAGCCAAAGAGCGTGTATACGCAGCACTCGAACCTAGGACCTTCGGTCTCGAGCGAACACTAAACCTCTAGACGACTTAGCTGATATTCGACGGTGCCGTTGTCTAACTTCAACCAATCCACGATATTGCGAGACCGGTTTCTATTGCCTTCAATGGGTAACTCCCTCACACCCGACACGACTGAGCTCCACTGGTGACGGCTTCTCACTAGAACTCCGAGAAAAACCTCTCGCTTAAACTTAATAGCTAGTTGGAAGAAGCCTTATCCCAGGTTAAAAAAAAATACTTATACAATACACTCGCATACCCATGACCTCGAGCTGCAAATACACTCAATTGACATTGCTTCATGAAATAAACTACTTACAACTATATATATATATATATATATATATATATATATATATATATATATATATATATATATATATAATATATATATATATATATATATATATATATATATATATATATATATATATATATATATACTGCCTAATTTTCATTACGTTGGAAAATCAGTTTGCAATTAGAATTACATTACTTACCTTCTACAGAAACTTTTGTCGTAGATTTTTTATCAGTTGTTTTTTTATCATTGGTTTCATGACATTTTTCAATTATTCCCTTTAAATTTAAACCAGCATTTTGGATAGATGCATCGAATTTTGCTTCAGCACGTTTACGAGCTACAATTTGACTTTGTCTTGTTAACAACAATGGTTTAGACGCAACACGTTGTTGAATTGCATTCAATTCACGTTGATATTCTGCTTGACGAGTTAAATCATTTTGACTAATATAAAAAGAATTTACATAGATAATATCAAATAAATAATAGATCTCAATACTGTCAGAATAAGTATGAGTAAAGTCCCTTAAACGAAATGGGTATTGTAATAGATAAGTTATCAAACGAAACTGGACTTCACTTCCCGAATTTTTTTCAGACTATTTTATTTGTGAATTTTAAATACTCTTCTGTTTACCATATAATTATTTGTCAATATTAATTACCTTTTTATTATTTCTAAAAATACTGGGTGTTAAAATTATAAAAAAGCACCGTTGGGAAGAAATGCAAATGAAATAAAAGTTTGATATTTATTGTTTTAGCAAATGGTTTATATAATTTACTTTTGAGTGTTTCGAAAAATTCATAAATCCTTACTATATGGGATCTGAAGAGCTTGATGAATTTCATAGATTACTTCATGGACTGATTTTAGTTAGGCAATGATTGAAAAACAAGAAGCACTGGACAGCTGTTTCATCTCGGTATATCACTCCTCAGTAACTCACATTCACCAAACTACTACAGATCAAACATATGACCTTCAGGTTTCATTGACAATCTTTAACCTGCAGAACACTCAGTCAATCGTTTGTATTTCTACCTTCAATCAATCTGAGATATTGTGAAATCAACTCCCAATGCTATTGATGGATAACTGTCCCACACGCAACATGAACTCTATTGGTTACATCTTCTCAATGTAAGTTCAAAAATTACGTCTCAAATTTAACTACTAATGAGCATATGATTATTATTAGAGGTATGTGAAGATTGCCACATTCCTGAGTTTACATTATGAACTGCTTTAGGATTTCATACTAGGATAATGCAGCTGTTCAGTTCTTCCTGATTTTTTAATAGTTGTCTAACTAATATCATTTAGTGATATAAAATGTGGAATTTATAAATTATTCAGTCACAAATTCTATCACTTAATCATCTCATCAACATTATTTCATCAATACTTTAATTTAGCTTCCTATATTATTTGACAAAATAAATGATATATTAAAATAATATAATATAAATTTGTCTATGTTTAAACACTTACACTAACTGACGTTTACGCTCTTCAGTAATTGAATTGATAAGTTGTTTAGGTGATATGATTTGTCCGCCTAATGTTTCTTTCATTGTATTGGACACTTCTTTCTGTTTCATTCTTCTTAAATATTCTGTTTCTTCTTTCCTTTTTGCATCTAAATCTGCTTTAGCCAGTGAATTTCTAAATGCAACGAAATAAAACAATAAATAGTTAAGATAATAATAATAATATGTTAGCCCTACTAAGGTTATTTAGGTCGACAATGAAATCTTCGTTGTTAAGTATTAATGATGAAAAGAAAGTAAATAACAACTGTTACCTTCTTCCTGAATAAATATTATCAAACATTTTTGGAGGGGGGAAGGGTTTATAAAGTGTTTATGCTTTAAAGGATTTAAAGTTAACGAATATATTTAGCAAAACATTTCAGACCTCATAATAACAAGTTTTTAATGAAAAAAGTCTGGTCTATTAAATGTCTCCTTTAGATAAACAGTTTTATTATTTTATTTATCATTATACATCGGTATTTTTAGTACACAGAATTGGCTTATGAGATTGTTTTCGAATTCATAAAATTTTGTTTTACAAAATATGTTAAGCTGAAATTTTTCAGACAAAATTATATTTGAAGATAGTATTCATCAAAGATTAACATAGGTAGTAATCTATCACAAAGTCATTTGGGTCATGGGTGAGTAGAGTTAAAGAGTTCCAAACTAGGACAAAACAGCTATCCAATGTCCCCTACTTCCAGTGGCTTACTTTATTTGGTGTCGGTCAATGACGAACACTATCCTCAAGTTGAACTTATCTTCACAAAATATCAACTAAGTATAAAAGTGATTTATACTAATTATAGAATGTTACTAACAAATTACCAGTTCACTTATTATATGATATATATATATATATATATATATATATATATATACTCGTTAAACTACATGATAATCAAATTGAGATTTATTGGTAACGACAATAATCACAACTTGTCTATACAGACTGATGTGACAACTTGATGTGTGATTTTTCTACTTTGGATAACTCAATTACAACTCAGTGGTCAACAAATTCTAAAATTAGTTCATTTATGACTCAGCTGAAACTTTAACAAGCGTCACCAACACATAGTCGCTATCACCCTTATTTTTTTCTTCTGAAAACTATAAATTTCCATTTTAAAAAAATGAAAAAATTAAAATTTCTAGGATGAGTAGCGGGTTGACATTAAACTGGTAATGTTTTCGAATACTACTGGTATCCGTCACGTGTTTTCTTAGCAGTTAAACAAAATTAACTGTAAACATATTCGCATGTATATATATGCTGGCTTAGTGGTTTAGAGATTAACCGTCCGTGCACGAGATCAAAGGTCCTGGGCTCGACTTCTGCGTGCGGAATAGTTAATGCACAATGTCGAGAAGTCATAGACTAGGACGAAACGGTCGTCCAGTGCTTTTAGGCTTTCAATGATGACCTAACTTAGTTCAGTTCATGATCTCAATGAGAATGAACAATATACATGATCGCTTACAGACAGTTATTTATTTTTTCTTTACACCTGCCAAAGAAAAGACAAACAATAGATACTTAAACCTACCTAATATAATTCTCACGAAGAAAAGTTGATCTTGATAAGGCCGGTGGAATTGAAGAATCTAAAACTAATGGACAAAATACAATTTAAATAATTAGTAAATATTGATTTATATGAAAACTACGACCGCCTAAATAAATCAATGAGAAAATTTTGACTCATTGAAATTATTCGACAAAACTTACCACATTATATTTCACATGACGATATACACATAAATGAATTCCTCCTATTTTATAATCACTAATTAAATAGTAGTAAGTTGCAACAAATTATGGTAAATTCTTCTAATAATTCTGTGAATTTCAATAATGGAGCTGTTATAGTATGAAGAGTACGAATAAACACTTACGATGGAGATTTCTGAATGTTATTAAAATCAAGAAACAACCCAGGCAAGATAATCAGTGAAAAACAGCAAGCACTGGACAGCTGTTTCATCTCGGTATATCACTCCTCAGTAACTCACATTCACCAAACTACTACAGATCAAACATATGACCTTCAGGTTTCATTGACAATCTTTAACCTGCAGAACACTCAGTCAATCGTTTGTATTTCTACCTTCAATCAATTTGAGATATTGTGAAATCAACTCCTAATGTTATTGATGGATAACTGTCCCACACGTGACATTGTTGAACTTTACTGGTCACACCTAACCAGAACCAGAAAAATTATCGCTCGAAGTTAGTCGATATATATTATGTCATTATATAACTACCGGGTATTATTTACTGCCAACTTATACATTGAGGTCACTGAGGCCACCTATCAATTTATTTTACTGCCAGCGTTAATGATGAGCCTGATATGGTTTAATTTTATTGCTTGATTTTATTATTATTTAAGCTGTTTTTGATTTGATAATTTTTTCATCACAAAGATTTTAAAGTATATTTTCTTCATTCTCTTACAAGACTATTTTATTTTATATTGTGCGGACCAATATTTTGGTTCGCAGTTATATCAGGTACTTATTTCATTTTTTTAATGAATTCATTGTCCTGTTATCATTAATTTATTACCTGGTTGTTTCACAATTGACAGAGAAATATTTTCTTCCGTCCTTTTCATCTTACTTATTTCTAATGAACGACGATCAACTGAATTAGCACGTTCACTTGTTCGTAATTTAAATGATTTCGGTCTAGTTGGCTCTGGCGGTGGCTTCCATAAACGTCGAAGTGTTTTATTAGATTTCCAGTGTAACTGTTTAAAATCCGGAGCTGGATGATAGTAATGATATTGTCTTTGTTCTGTTTCTGATTTATCTAAATCAAGAACAGCTGAAAGAAAAGTTGAAATTTACCAAGTTTACAGATTTGTTATCAGAACTACTATTGTAAAAAATTTCGATCGACAAAATTAATACTTGTAATGTCCCATACTTGGCAAGCAAACATCACTCATTTACTCTACAAATGATACAAATCTAGTATAAACTAACGATATATAGCAACAACACTTTAGCAGTGTTCAATTTTTACATTCAGTATGAAGAGAAAAACTGTTCTTTCAGAAGTAAACTTTTATTGTCCTTACAAAAACGATAGTATTCCACAGTTCGCTCGTACACTTCGCCTCTTATTGACATAGAAAAACAGAATGAAACTACATAATAAGAGACAAAACAACTAATTAAATAAAAAGCAATAACTATCGTAAGAAGTATGGTTTTGTATTCTATGGTATAATTTCATTTCTTAACAGGAGTTTAAATTGTAAAACAAAATACAAAGTTTCTAGAGTATTCCCATAAATTTCCTTGTTTATTTGCAGCCTACTCATAGAGTATATAATATCAGTATAGATTAGTCAAGATTTAATACTAATAAGTCAATATTACAGAAACCAGCATGAACAGGATACTTCCTGTATGTATCTACCATTATAGAACTTCTATAAATAAAAACACACGATTCCTTAGGAAATAATCAACATTATATTACTGTTGACTTAAATTTTCCAAATGCAATCTAAGATTTTTTTTAAAAATTATTCAAAGATTATGTATTTCATTTGAAATGTGGTTTTCATTCAGTTAATTTTTGTATTCGTTCAGTGTCAACTTTTTTTATTTGGTCTTAAGTAGATTTTACTTTGTTTAATAAATCTCAGTGATTTTGCACCCTAAGTGACAATTATTCAGTTTATCCATTTATGTAACTAATAATCATTAATTTTTATTTGTATATAACTGAACGAATTCGAATGTGAACTGAATTCTTCTCGGGCCTTTACCAAACAAATCATCCTTGTAAGATGTGTGTTTTACAGTAATTAGAACTGAAAGAGAAGGAAGCTGTCTTATCATGGTTTAAAAGGCACGTAAAATTATCGTCGTTGTAAAAGAATAGAGCAGATATGTTGCTGTGTTAACCCATTCAAACTACGATCTTTGTTCAACATTCACAAAACATATTATGAAATTAATATGATCGAACTACGTTTATTAAAATGACTTCAAAGTAATATTCATTTGTCGGTTTGTGATTTTTATTTCTATCCCTGGTTATTCTCATTTGTTGGCTAACAAGTAACTTAAATTTATACCCATTCTCATTGAACATTACGTATGAAAAAAATAGTCCCGATTTTCCGAAAGAGTTGATTAATTGTTCCGCTTTTTAAGACTTAGTCAGTTTTGATTTGCGGATCGGGTTGGTGAGTGAATCGTAAGATCAGCCATCTCTGTCATAGAACAGTTTTATCATATCGACTGAACCATCCTAACAACTCTTCCCCACGATGACAATAAATAAAAACCCGGTTATTTAATTAATAATGAATTCACTTTCATGGTTTGAAGCATTTATCAACATCATCGGACAGCGTAACTTATCGATTTACATCATAACAACTTCAGAAAAGCAAAAATTATGAGCTTTATAGAAGAACTTTTGGCAAAATCCTATTGAAATTAATATGGCAGTAAAAACTACTTGGACGATCAAAATACCAGATATAAACGAATCTAAGTAACAGAAATCATCTGATTGTATTACTTAGGAGATGGGATTTCTACGTACTGTTGAATCTGTCTCTTAACACAACTATTGAATCTAATGGAAATAAGCGAGGTGATTATTTAACTGACAAGTTATCCTGCTATGTGTCGTAAGAAATCCTTTTTTTGTGTGTGTAATTGGTAACTAATAGGATTAGAAATATAGTGGAAAGCCGCATACTGATAAGTAAATCTCAAAGACTTACAAATTCGATTAAGTCTTTTATCTCTAGCTTTTCTTTCTTGCTTCCTCAGATTCATACGATGTTGTCGCTCCTCCATACCTGGTGGTAGAGAAGCCGACTGTATTAGTCTTTGGGCACGTAGGTGACGTTTAATTTGTTTTAAAAGTAAATCCTCTTGCATACGTTCAAATCTTTTTTCATATAACTGTGATGGTAAATTTAAAGGGTCTGGAGGTCCATCATCTTTAGAATGTGAAAGTTTCTTGTCAGCGCCGAAGTTCATTTCTTGCTTAATCTTTTCCTGACTGAAGCTAAAATAGAAAATAAGATTTTTTGTTGACTAAGTGTTTAAGTTATTTTTATGGCAGTTGATCTGCTTGAAACTTGATTTGTCTTTTCACTCATGTTAACAAATAATCACTCAACAAAATTAAGTCACTTGATATAATTTTTGAAATTCAACAAATTTATAAAAACAGTAACAATAATCTAATTACAGAATACAGAAAAATAATAGCGTCTGTGAGAAAAAATGTGAATTCATCATTTACGAAGGGAAAATACGCACCATCGATACTGCATTTTACAAGTTGAGTGTTTTAATTATCCAGCCACCATTTTTCTATCAGGAAAACATTGCGATCTCAAATTTTCAAAATTTAATAAGCAAATTATTTAGTAAATTGATTAGGAGTCGTGTAGTGATTTTGAATTCATTTGTTCAATCATCACTTAACAAAGGTTTATTCCAGATAACTTTCTTAAAAAGCATGGTCTTTTAACTTCACAGTTCTCCTAATTTTATTCTTAATCTTGATTATAGACTAGATTTGTGTTAATAAAGATGCTGAATATAGCTTAAGTAAATTCTTGACAACTTTGTGAAGTTTTTTTGCCTCATACAGGTTACTTCTGGTTGTTTAAGAACATGTTTCAACCTGTGTGAGCCACAATTTAGGAAACATCTAAAAAGATACAACTAGAAGTGAAGCTTGGTCAATTTTTATCTTAATCTCTATTAAGATTGTTAGTCGTATTAATTAAGCTTCATTGTGTATTGTAACCAATTATACGGATTTAGTCTAAGGTTTGTCGAAAAATTTTTAGAAGTAACAACGTACTCTAACTATTTATTTACAGATGATAACTGAGAAAAGTTCTACAGAAGATGAACTGACACTTATGAAGATTCAATAAGAAAACGGACTACACTAATTTAATGATAGTGGTGTCTTATTCTAACAAATCATCGACGAGAATGGGATGAAAAGAGAATATGTTTTTGCTGTTATTTAGGAAAAAATCTGAATCCTAGTATGACTGTCATTAACTTTATCTTGAGTTGATAATTTTCATCATCATTATAGTATGATACTACAAGTCAGGTTGAACTAATGTGTAGTAACCCAAGAAAGTTAGCCTTTATCCCCGAAATGTTTTTATGTTCAACTCAAACGTGAGCAAATACTCCTCAATAAGAAAACCACTGAAGTCATACACCTGAATTGCTTAAGTTACTAAACTATGTTTCAAGATTTTACTACAGATGAATAATGGCCATTGTTATACATAAATAGATATCAGTGAATCTGAGTATCAGTCACACACCACTACTTTCGGACGCAAGTAATATCAAAAGGATGCATTGTCTCTTTTATATACTCAAAGCTTCAATACTTATGTTTCTTGAATTTTATCTATTCATGTTTCTAAATTTAAGTGTATAAACGATAACAGAGGAAATATTAATCGGAACAGTTTTACGCTAACCAATCGTACTAGATATTCCTTCAGAACTACCCAGACTTATATTTCTTTTTTAAAACCTTTAAGGACCATCATGAAACACAAACTCTGATTTAAAACATATGTGGAAAGTTATTACATAAAAAATAAAGTATTTTACATAAGTAAAAGCTTGATTTACTCACTCGTTCTGCTCTTTTTTAAGGTTCTCTCTAATGGTAAAGTTAAATGGTTTTTCGATTGATTTTAAGATTTCTTTGCGATACGCTCTGACAGCTTCACGTCTAAGAGTAGTATCTTCCAGTAATTTCTCATATAATGGCAAATACACATGTGAAGGTACTGGCTTAGCTTTAAATGGTCTGCCGAGGTGCATATTAGCATTATCCTGAACAGTGGCAGGTTGTGAACGCCTGTTTTCACTTTGTAGATTTTTGCTACGTTTTAAAGATTCCTCTCGCTTTGTCATTTCAAAGGGTTCCGGTACAGTAATATGGTGTCTCCAAGATTTGACTGATGGACTAGACTCAAAAACAAAATTTTTACTGCGGTGGTTGTCAGTGGTTGTTTTGTTTTCATCAATTTCTGAAAAAAATAAATTAAGAATGGATTCAAAGCAAGAATGAAATGAGAGGATTATTCATTATGTAGTGTTGCAAAATATGGTTAAATATTTGTGAAACTCGAACTGATCTTAAAGTTAAAAAACCAAAGTGTGAATCTTTCAATACGACTCCGTGTCCGACGGCTATTCAGAGGCAGTCCTTCATTAAAATAGCTGTGTCAAGCATGCGAAATACCTTGAAAATATCATTTCAAGCTTTGTTATAGTGTTTCGGTGATCGCGATACTGGAAAGGTAGTTTTACATGACGGAAATTGTCACCTGCAAGTTTTGACAAAGATAACCGATTATTATGTGGCAGTAGATAAATATTTGAGTAAGTCACACTCATCATTATTCATAAAGGAAGTAAACAGAACACTATTCTTTAAATTAATGATCATATTTCACTATACGACTATGCGCATATACAATTAAAATTCGTTTGTGGTTAAGATGTGTAGTATTGCTGTATAGAAAACCTGGACACAACCAATTTGTGTCAGATTTAATTTCAGAACAATTAATTTTAGGATCAACTTATGTAACTTGTATGTACTTATAACTACGGTGTTGTTTCAACATAAAATCGTCTTCAGAATCAGTCACACATCATATTCCGAGAAATAGTGTGGCATATTGAATTAGTCTTTCTGAACTCAGATTAATAAACCTTTTGAGTGACTAATCTACATCTCTTAAAATAGTAGGGGCTAACCCAAAACTAATTTCAGTAAAACGGTGGTCTGGTAAACCCCAAACTGCCTTTAGCCTCTGATGCCATGAACCACATTTATGTTAAGAAAACAAATACTATACTAGATTATGTTGTATTTGTTTAAACTTAGAAGGTATACCTGTATCGACAGTACGTGAACTCTAAAGAAAGACTTAAAACACTAAATACAAGGTCATCATTGAAAATAGACCGAATCTAAGGGTCCGCTGGCCGTAATAAGAATCAAGAGTAACTCATTTTCGTTAATTCATATCACATAACCACCGTCAAAACGTCTCAGGAAAAAAAACTTTGTGCAAATAGGTGATAATTACATAAAATGCGAAGTGCATAACAAATCATACTCACCAATTTTTGAACACCCACATTCTTCGCTTTGTGTCTCCGGCACATTGCATTCTCTCGATCTAGAAAATTCAAAATTCTTTTCAGTACATCTAGATTTAGGTTCTTCTTGATGTAAATGACTACTTTGATTACAGATGCAATATACACTCTCGGAGTCATTAAGCTGACTTAACACTAAAATGTAAGAAATTGCGCATACTTGCTCGGTAAATCCTTTGACACATCTTTATCATTAAGTTCTTCCGAAAAATTACCATCGTTTTGTTCCATATCAACTTTACCAGAACTGAAGTAAAGCTTCTCAATTATGTCGACAGTGTCCTTCTGCTCAGTTTTAAGCTTCATAAGTTCTGTGTAAAATTCTTCGTCACTCATATTTCCACTCGAAAGAAGTTTTATTTTCATTTGAGTTTTGTTTAAGAGACTGTCCAGATATGAAGCTGTTTTCGCCAAGTCTCCGTCTGTTATGGAAAGTATGTCAGCCAGTATGCATTTTGCATTACTGCTTAATTCTCTGAATGTTGTGCTTTCTCTAACAAAGCCATCGACAACAGATATGTTATAACGAGACAAACTTCCAGTCATTTGAGTACATTCAATATGCCGCCAGGGATAAACAAACTTGTACAAAGCGCTACAGCAACAGATACATGCTGACTGATTAAAAGCAATATAAATTCGGCAAACAATAAGAGAGATTATATGCATAAAAACTCGTTAATCTTCATACATTCATATTTTTCAAACACCTTTTTAATTAAAAATTTGCTGTATCTTCAAATTTGCCATGCGACACTCAATCTAAGGAGAAATTACTTTCTTGTAGATACTGAACATAATGTTTCATGATGTTCTAAGCTTTTGAACAAAGTTTCGTTGTTTTGTGCGGAAATATATAGGCTATTTCCTTCATTCTATGGATACTTTGACGAATTACAGATGTCACATGTATTTAGAGTTTGATAACGCCTTTACATGTAAAACCTTTGTAATTGAAGTATATTAACCCAGTCAAATCAGAAGTCATAAATGAACGGGTTCGGAGACGTATTAGGATAGCTATCGATGTGTTAGGAGGCTTGTTATCTAATCTGGCCAACAGTTGTAAGGGATGTGTAGTATAGCGTGCCCACTCGTGATCTGATGCGGATGTGTCCGAGAGCCTTCGAGTAGGTCTAGTAAGACTAATGCAGTCAGCACCTATTGTCAAAGACTTGAAGAATTATTCACTTCGAAGGTTTATTCGCCGCTACAGAATATGGTATGGGTTACTGACTTTTGAATTCTACTGCTGACACACTCAACATAAATAAATGCGGAAAGCTTAAGTTGCTTTCAAAAACCAAGGGCCAGACCCCGCAAAAAATTGATTAAGTGGAAGAAAATCGTAACATTATGCTTCTTATTGTCTTGTCTTAGAAGCACTTACATGAAAGATCTGAAAACTTTAACATTGACAGTTATCATAGCAGTCAAATTGATGTACAGAATGCCCTTCAGTATAATACTTTGACACAATTGTAGTGAATTACTTATGTGCGACGAAAAATCACCTAATGATAGTGAAAGTCAGCTCTCCATCTTGAAGTGCAATTATTTGACTTTATACTTATAGGTTCACTCAGGAATACACTCCCTGAACAAACGATATCCATAACTGAATAATTATATTTAACTCCATTCCTTACCAACCTAACTGTGGTCTGACTTTTATTTGAATGTGACTATCACTTAATTCCTGATAAGTTACGAACTTTAATACACCTAGTCACTTGTCATGTCGAAAATTCTGTAAAATCTAAAAGATTTGGAAAATCCACCTTATGATAATATTGGTGAATAAGATGCCACTGCAGACTAATTCGCCCCATCTCGGATAACTGTTACCTTCAATTGTAGCTAGTCAGCACCAGCTTCCACTACAGTCATTAGCAAACACTGTTAGTACTAGCTCGTCATATTTTGACACTCAATAGCATGTTTTTCATTGACCGTTCAAAAATAGAATAATATGTTTGTGTAACATTGGCAACACGGTAAGATGGAAACGACCTTTGATTTGAAAGTATTGATTGATCGGTTGGATCAGTACTTTTGAGTGGGCAGTTGCAGTTAGTCAGAATCCAATTGAGTCGAGAGTGTACACGCATCTCAACGGGTTATTTACTCTAACGGCAATTCCAGCCAATTAATCAATTTGCTCATCACATTTTGGCAAGCCTGTAAAAATGCCTTGGAATCTTAGTATGTCTAGAACAAAAACGGGATCAGACGTAGAATCTAAATCTAATACCGAAGCGAAAGACCCTGATACTAGAGAACAAACCATGTGAAACAATAACGGTGCTAAAAGATAAATAGTCAGCTAAACCACCAATCCAACCACCTGGAAAATATCGTCTAGGCGGATTGTTTTCTGTGTGGGAGCTAGAACGTCGATAATACCTGATGAATTTTGCCAGCAACCAGCATACTTGAGTACCAGGTATTATCCTTTCTATAGAAGCGTTAAAGAGCTAAGACTATAGAGCACTAAGATTTCACCAACTAAGGACGTAAATAGGGAACAGTGTTCGTGCTTTTAAAGCATACTGTTTTTCTGGGAAAAGTCTCATCAGTGAAGGATGAAAGTCATCTATCTTCATTGGACGTCTTCATAAACTGGCAACAGCAGAATTCTCATATTATTCAAGGACAAAACTCGGAAGGGCTTTTCTCAGTCAATTTATCTAGGATGCAAACTAGAAATCACTGCAAAATAAGTTAATGTAACACGTTCGTGGAAGCTCAACAGCTGATCGTGAAGGAGCAGTTTTAGAAAATCAGATATTCGTGATCGCAGGTTGTGACAAGTTGAACTGCCATAGTAGTGAAAATGTTTACCAGCGAAGTATTCAGAAACTGAACTTCCGCTCAAGAAGCATTCGGTGACTACACTGAAACTTCAAAGACGTGCATGCTAGATGGTGCAAGAACAATTCAAGTTAAGGTACATCACATGTCCCTTAAATTTCGTGCGGTGACTATAAACCCCTCACCTCAACATCGTGTAGAGTTATTTAACCGTCCAGTGACGATTCTGTTAGATTCGGGTGCAGCATGTACATTAATCAACAGTAATCTTGTTCTTAATGATGTGTTCCCGTAAGATACTTATAACGTAGGTCTGAACGCAGCCAATGGCAATTTGATGGTTGTTAAAGATATAATAACACCGAGATGGACCCTTGACAAATAGACTTTCACATACAATACTTTTGTTGTTCAGAAACTATCTTGGGGTGTTATTTTAGGCGCAGACTTGTTAACTAATTGCGGAGGATGTCCGAACGTAAAGTAAAGGATAGTTTACGGCACGAAATTCAGTTTGGAAACTGGGTAGTTACGTTAGGAAAGAGTCTCCTGGTTATAAAATAACGACTAATGCTAATCAAATCGAGACATGTAGAGTTATTAAAAAGAAGGTTAAAAACGTTTCACTATGTATTTGCTGGGAAATCAAAAGATATCGAATGTACGAAAGCTGTGGTTCGTCGGATTGACAATGAAGAGATAAAACCATATAATCGACCTCCTCGTCGTGTGCCCGTAGAGTTAATTATATGATACAGGACATTTTAGCACATAGTATAATCACGCTGTCCGTATCACATTGAGCAGCTCCAATTTTCTTAGTAAAAAAACGGAACCTCAAGACTGTACATGAATTACCGAAAACCCAATGAGGTCACAAAATGTGATTCTCACCCATTGCCACAAATAGACAATAATTTGGATGCACCAACCTGTTCGAAGTGGTACTCTACGCTAGATTAAACATCTAGCTATTGGCAAGTCGAATAATATATCTTTATTATCGACACAAGACGGCGTTCACCATACCATCGGGTCTACATGAATTTCAAACAATACCGTTCGGTCCAACTAGTCAGCCTTCTGCTTTCCAATGATTAATACGCACAACACTGTCTAGATTGGTGCCACTTGCTCGTTTGGTGTATCTTGATGATGTTAGAGTACACTGAGAAAATTTGCAAATATTTTTAGAACGCCTCCAGATATTCGGTTTAAAAGTACAGTCATTGAAACATTTGTAGAGGAAGCAAGTAAAATTTCTAGGTGATATCGTTGATGATCGATGAATACTCTAGAATAGCAGAAACGTCGATGTCATCCGAAACTGGGTTGTTCCACAAAATGATAATAAATTTCTCAGCATCGAAGGTTTAGCAGCTTATTATAAGAGGTTTATCAAGGAATTTTCAGAGAGAGCGGCTTTTCTTTGTAACTTGCTAGGAAAGGATGATAAATTGGGATGGACTGACAAGTGCCAGGAATCTTTCGACCAGTTAAAGAATTGTCGTGTTTGGCACTAATTTTAGCATATTCAGATTGTTCTCCCACTTTTGGTTGTTTCACCACAGACACCAATGCAAGTGACCAAGCTATCGGTGAGGTATTATCATAAATTTCTTCGGATGGGAAAGAAAGAGTTATTGCGTATGTAAATCACATGCTACACAAGTGGGAAAAACTTACTGTACAACACGCAAAGAGATGCTAGAAGTCGTCTACATTGTGTGCTACTCCGGACATTACTTATCGGGACGTTTGTTATTAGAACTGATCATAAAGCTATAATAGGGTTACAAGATTTCAAAGATCCCGAGGGAAAATTGCCCGATGGCAAGAGTGCTTGCAAGAATATGACTACGAATACATCAATAGGCCCAATATATAGCACCAGAATGAAGGCACTTTATCATGCAGAGCTAAACTCCATGGAAACTTCCCTTCGTACGTCACACCAACAACTAATACAATAGAGTTGGAAATTATGGTAGATGTTGGTTGTGTTCATATTCATCAAAAAGATCCAGAAACTTCAATAGTGTATAGCACTTCGAAAAACCAGAGTTCTCGGCCGTCTTCAGAAGAAATTCAAGGTGTGGGTTCGGAAGGCATATGTCTATGGTCCATGTGGAAATTCCTAACATTGATGGACGGAGTATTATATTTTGTTATGTTTCATACTAGTCGAGACAACTAGTAGTCCCACAGTATATGGTTGGTGGTGTCTTGGACAAAATTCATGAAGACTTGGGGTATGAATGCCAAAGTGCAATGATAGAGGCCATCAACCTTAGATATTTGTGGCCAAAACAATTGGGAGACATACGGAATTATGCCAGAGCTGATAAGATCTGTAAAATGACTAAGAACACACACGATGCGCGTGCACCCCTAGTAAATATGAAGCCAGGTTACCCAAACGAGACGGTGGAGAGTGATATTATCGGACCATTACAGAAAACCAACAGGATAAATAAGTATATTTTGTTGATGGTTGATCATTTTAAGGATTGGTGAGAGGCGATTCCCTTAGGAAGTGTGGATACTTAAATCGTAGTTAAATCTGTATTTGAAATTTGGGTTTCTCTTTGGGTGCCTCAGCTCATTTGCGTTCAGTTAGAGGTACTAACCTTCAAAGCATACTTTTTAAAGAATTATGCCAAATGTCAGTAATTAACAAAACGCGAACGACTGCCTACCATCCAGAAGGCAACGCATTGTTGAGAGAACCAGTCGGACTCGCAAAACGCTATTGAAAGTATTTGTTAATCGGGAGGGAG